TATTTTTTAAGTTCATAATTCCAGGATTTCAATCTTACAAATAATAGAAAAATAAATATATACTTCATTTAGAAAATACTCTATATTTATATATTTTGTTTATATATACTGTGTTTAGTATATATAATTCGACTATGAATACTCTGTGATATGACTAAAGCTTTGAAATGAGGTGAAAAGTGAACAAATTTACTAGAATATTTATAATTTTATTGGTCAACTTAATAAATTTGCTCACTTTTGCAATTTTCACCTCATTTTAAGTTATCGCTTTTGCCGCATATTATGTCTGAGATTTCACTTCAAAGAATTAAATAAAAAATTAATAGTTATATTGTGTATATATATATATAAATTTTTCCCTGGGAAATTTCCTGATACCACACTTTATCCGAGAGACGTTTTGGCGAATGTTAATTCTTAGGACATAGGGATATCCTCTGAATGTTCTTTAGAACGTTCCTTGGAGATCTATGCTATTAGAGTTATAATCGATTAAATAGAGGACATTTAGTCAAAATTATTTTATTCGAACTTCGTATACTCATAAAAAAAAAAACTAATGAATATATATGAATCCATCAAGAACAAGAAAATCAAAATAATGTCAATTTAATATCATTAATTTGCAAATTATTCATTAAATTTTGATTACATTTTTTGTCATGATTCGGTTAATATATATATAATACATATATATAACGTACATTATTATTTTAATAACTTTTTTGTTCTCCTTGGGAAGAAAAAGAGCTGTTTTAAAAATAAAAAGGACGCATGAATTTTTCGCGAATATTTGTCAGAATAATTTTTCCTCGATTGGATTATCGTCTTATCCCTCGCTACTCCTGTACGTTCCTGAATGCATGTCCACTTCATTTTAAGTACAGAAAGTGTCGGAGAGTGCAGGTGAACAAGTAGTTACACGTAGTCAACTAGTCAAATAGAGTGAATTCTTTTAATTTTTTATATGTCAGCTCACTGACAGATCAATTGACAGCCATCAATTGACCGATAACCTCGGAGAGTTTATCTCCATGCTCAATTAATTATCAATTAGCGTATACACTACGAAGAGTTTCCAACTTGCTAAAGAAAAATAATGAAAATTAAAACATTGAAGCATAGTTGCGGTAGTAGGACATAACCTCTCGCGCTTCAATGACCGTGCGCTTCGAATGTAGTGACAGGATTATCATAAGGTTCAGTGACGCCAATTGATTTCGAATTCACAGACATGATTAAAGCGATTCTGGTTTTTAATAATCATGGGAAACCTCGTCTCTCCAAGTTTTATCAGTACTTTGTAAGTATATCTCAATACTGCTCGTTTTGAATTTCTTTTCTACTTGTCACTTGTAAAAACTGCGAATTAAATCCTTTTATTTATTGAGATATAAAAATCAATAGTGGAGATGATATATGACGTAATTTCTATATCGATATATCTATTAAATGTATCACAATTGTATGGAACGCGATAGGAACATGAAAGCATATGGTTCGTTGCAATATACAATATATTTTCTGTTTCAGAATGAGGATATGCAGCAGCAGATAATAAAAGAGACATTTCAGCTTGTCTCAAAGAGAGACGACAACGTGTGCAACTTCTTAGAGGGTGGTAGCCTGATTGGCGGATCTGACTACAAGCTGATCTACCGACACTATGCAACGCTTTACTTTGTATTCTGCGTCGATAGCTCAGAATCAGAGCTGGGAATCCTAGACCTGATACAAGTCTTCGTCGAAACTTTGGACAAATGCTTTGAGAATGTGTGTGAGCTTGATCTTATTTTTCACGTGGACAAAGTTCATTACATACTTAACGAGTTGGTGATGGGTGGTATGGTTCTTGAGACCAACATGACTGAGATTCTCACGAGGATCGAGGATCAGAATAAGTTGGAAAAACAAGAGGTAAGTACAGGTGCTTATAATCCCTAATGTTATCTTAACTGTAATCTTATTTCCTGTGAATTTGTATCTTTGATTTAGATATATTGAAATCCCTGTTCTATTTAGCTGAACTTCTTCCATGATTTATTTCTTTTTTTTTTCTCTAACATAAAGAGAAAAGGAGGAATAAATCTGAAATAAATCAAGAAATTTAGTTAAAAAGAATAAGTTTCACGTTATAATGTAATAAAACTATGGCAAAATCACAGGATTGTTTCAATCTGCGCTCACAACGTATAAACTTTTATAATTTTTTTACATCCAAATATTTATCATGCTATTTCATCAGATAGAACGTTTATATGTTTCAAGCTAGTACTGCTAATTTTGCAATGTGTTTATTTTCTGTCACTGAGCTTTAATACAAATAACTACCTAAGCAATCTAATGAGCTATGCATGCATACTGGTACAGCGATCTGTAGAATATATTTGATATGGTGACAGGTAGGACTGATTGACATAACATCAATTTTAGGGGACTTACAAATCTGGGCGGTCTTGTTCACCCCGTCCGTTTGTCCTTCTGGGACCTCCTCCTTAAGTAAATCAGCAGTAGCAAATCAGGCCACTTTATATAATCGTACTCTTCTGTGCGAATTCATTCTTTTTATTTTTCTTTTTTTTAATATTTTATCCAAGAAAGCGCCAAGCCCTTTATATTTAGCTTCATAAAACGTAAACGTTTGCGTAACACGCATGGCGATGCAATTTTGTTTTGTAATTATCCACTGCATAAACCGCCGAGTGCCTTCATAATGTAAATGTCGCTTTGTAAGGATAATAAATGTCAACGCCATGTTGTCAATGTTGTCATCCGTCATTTGCCTTTGCGCCTTGTAGCTAAAATTACATTTACTCAGCCCTGCTGAAACTTGTCCGTTCTTCGATCCGTATGATGTGTGCAGGCGGGAATCACAGCAGCGCCCGCGCGTGCTGTCTCGGCGGTGAAGAACATGAATATACCGCAACAAATAAAGGATATGAAACTGCCTGACTTGCCGCAAGCCATAAAAGACCTCAAATTCTGACCAGCCGTCACATCGTTGGCACCCAGCTGACTGGTCTCTTCTGTCATCCCGAATGTAACTGACACCACCGTCGCACCGAGGACACTTTTCCCCTCCCTTCAAGCAAGCGAGAATGCACCAATGCTGCCTGCTACCTCTGCGTATATCCCGTCTCAACGATACCAGAGTTAAAGATCATGGATGAATCATTATCCTTTTTGAGTCACGGTTCTTCCGGTAAGAAAATACGAACTACGAGAGAAATTTCGAGGAGTTTCTAAACAAGAAAAGAAATCGAACAAGATGAGAATGTTTCTTAAATTTTTTATATATGATGAGAGATATTAAAATGATATCAGATCTATGAATTCAGCTATAGTATTGGCAACTTTTCGATTGTCTAGTAGTCTAGCTCCACGTTCCATTACATGTAAGAAAGACATGTTATTCACTGAAAAGCATTAATGTTATATTGTAATGAAAATATATTTAATAAATAAAATAGCACTATTATAAACGTGTATTGTTTTTTGCAAAATTATTTCTATATTGTATTATAGTGATGCACATTCAAAATATATCATATTTTGTGTCACTCTTGCGACTTCTTTACAATCCCACATAAATTCACACATTCTAATCATTCTTAATTCAAATAATACATATGACTAAAAAGTATTAAAAAAAGAAACTATAGTGATTGCGTATAAAAATGATCTTATTATTTTAAGCTTAGAGCGACACTGTCCAAATAACACAAAGACCAAAATTAGGACAGACGTTTTTATTGGACTTTGTGTTGAGCTGGGTACTAATACATGTTCTCAATAAAGAATTATTATTACTTTTTAGATATGGCCAATTCATTTCTAAGAGTCGTCCATATAAAGCCCGCTCCTTTCTCTGTGAGAGGAGGTGGATAGGGACTGTTTTTTAACTTGAAATAATCCGATGGAGCGTGCATTACAAATTCCATGCACTCTAATTTACGAGGTAAATCTTCTTCTGGTCCAATTAAATATGTCTCAGGAATGAAGCCTTCTTCCGGTGGAGGACTAAAAGGTACATCAGTTAACATTAACTCTGTTCATTTTAGCTATTCATTTGGCTTCTTGCACAGTTCTTTTCTTTTTTTCTCCGTGAAAAAAATAAAGAAAGATGAACTGTGCAAGAAATTGAGTTAAAAGGATATGCATATTGATAAATATTATTATAAAATTATAATCTCATGAAGTTATTGGAATAAGGGATCTTACCTCGCTGTGGTGGGCAATAACCAGGTAATGGCGGCGCTCTTTTCGCAATACTGGTCTGTTAACAAACCACGTATCTGAGCATAATAAATACCACCGTCTACATCTTGCAGAGAGACTACATCTCCGACTTGAAAATACGTGCCTTTATAAAATACAAAGTTGCTGGTGGTTGGAGTCGCAGTAGCTGTAGGTGCCTTGACTGGCTGCAAATACAGTTAAACATAAATAGTCAATGATTCCACATATTTCTATGAGACTGTAGATACTTTTCAATAAAAAAGACAGGTAACACAATGAATCATTATATTCTTGTTGGTAATGTTAAACAAAGATGAAATAATGACTGTGACTTTTGTTGAAAAACAGCAACAGATGACACAACAGACTTTCCATTTAGTGACATAAATTGTTTCTGTTATTCATTAAATACCAGATAAACGTTTATGTTGTATCATGGAAAATATCTACTATGATTATCATCTTTATAATATTGACAAACAAGAATATAATGATTTACTGTGTTACACTGGCGTTTGGTTTTGCTTATAAGTATCATTCGTTCTTGTTTAATATTTATTCTGCAAACACAATAGAATAGTAAGCCTTAAGGAACCAATCATAGTCGATTACTCTTCTCACATTTGACTGTGATTGATTAATTTCTTAAGGCTTAAGGCTCTTGTGTTTGCAGGAACGATAAACAATAAGGATGAATTGATATTTACAGCATACGAGTGTCAAAACGGAACGCATCCTACATCTTTTGCTGGAAAACATCTACTGCCATTGTAACAAAAATGGAAGGACATTTTCCATTCGCTCACCGTTTTCTTAAACAGATTCCTACGACCTTTACCCTTGGGCACAATTCTGTGTGGTCCTATCGTCTTTGTATTACAATATCTCGTGATCCGCGTGCTCCTTCTAGGCTTCAGCGAGCCGCTTCTGTCCTCCTCGTCCGTTTTGGAAGACGTGCTCGCCTCAGCATTCCGTTCGTCCTCCAAACAAGCATTGCACAAGTTTCCAGCATCAGTCGAGTGCCATAGAGGGGTCTCATGTGTCCCGCACTTGACACATTTTGGTTTGCTGCCGAGCGGCATCGGATTTCTTTCAAGTCGGCCTCAGAGAGTCCATAAACAACAATGAATTTTCCTCTAGCGATTGTTTACCTCATCTAATACTCTGATCGCTGATTTCAGCTGTCATGTCGTGTTTACATGTGCGTCATACGCGTTTACTTCACGTGTGTCACGTGTTTGTACTTCAGTATCGGTCAATCGGCGCACGCGTCTCGCCAGAGGTGTGTTCAGATTCCCTCATGTTCAGGGAATCGATTCTGTATCTTCAATCAAAGTAAAAATTACAAAAATGAGCAAATTTACTAGGTGTTGACCAATCAAATTATCAGTATTCTAGTAAATTCGCTCATTTTTGTAATTTTCACCTTCTTTCAAAATACAGAATCAATCCCCTTGGGGAAACGAGGTGAAAATTACAAAAGTGAGCGAATTTACTAGAATACTGATAATTTCATTGGTCAACACCTAGTAAATTTGCTCACTTTTGTAATTGTTACCTTGATTGAAGATACAGAATCGACCCCCAGAGTGTTCTCTGGGTGTTATATCATATTGTTTAACATTTAGTAAATAACAAGGATAGAGTGATATTAGGGGTACGATTCTGTAACTGTTTTACACGCCTACTCGAGTTGTCGGTGTCGTTGCGCAACTTTTTCACCATATAAAATATCTGCGCAACGATACCGACAACCGTCGGTAGGCGTGTAAAACAGTTACAGAATATAGGAGGTGCGGTCGAGTGCGCCAACTCGAGTAGCGATAACTCGACCAATCATATGAATATAAATTTTCACCGCAGAACGAAAATTCGAAGACGCGATTCGATGAATTTTATACGCGCGTCTCGGGATCTGATAGACTTATATTAATTATTACGGCGCACTCGCCATGTCGGATATAAAATTTACTTTGCAATCGTTTATTCTACAATTTATATTTCATATATTTCATAGATCCAAATAAACATTTAATTCATTGTCGATAAATTTCTCTGTGAGGAAATTAAAGAAAAAAAAAAATACAAATTTATATAAGTTTGTCTCGTACACAAATTTTTTCCTCGTTTAATAAATTACAAATATCTAAATAATTATATTTTGTAAATATGCAATATCTAAAAATTTATATTTATATATATATGTTACTAAATAAAAAGCTGAACACTATCGTAAGCGGTCAACAAATTATTAATACCACGCGCTCGCGCGAATAACAAAGCAATTTGCTTTATTAATCTGATGGATTATGCAACACGGATAAACGTAAAATTGTCTCGCTCGAGAGGAACAGAAAGAGACGGGTTTACGTTTTGCAGCGAGCAGGCACCGCATGCAGTTTATATTTCTCGCGTTACGCCTCTTGTAATATCGATCCTGGAAGCGGCCAGTAGACATGCGTTAGCGCTTTTAACTTCATTGTGACAGGTGCCCTGCCTGGGGTATCCTGTTTGAAGTGTCTCGTCAGCAGGAGCACTATGTCGAACGCGAAAACATAATGTGACACCGTTTCGCAACGCGTAGAGCTCATGGAAATCACGGCAGCGAAGAATCATGTGCCGTGTGGGTGATCGTTGATGGAGCGACGAGGCACCGCGGGGGCCGTCGACTAATGTCTAGAACATGTGCCTTTGCTACGAGTGAGTATGAGAGAAATGATGATTGCGTATCCAAAATCGTCCGAGCGAGAGACGCGAAGGAAAAGTCATAAAACCGCAAATGATGTTCCGCCCGTCCGGTGTACAATTATAGAGCATTAATTAGAAATGAATTTACAACTAGAAAGATGTTAATTGGAGTTAACGATTCTAATGTGTGTGTGTGTGTGTGTGTGTGTATATATATTTAGTAGGAGAGATCTTCGGATCGGAGAGAGCGTCAATTTGGTTTCCACTTGATTGGCTCTCGATTTACTATTATAGTCAATAATTTAATAAGGGGTTCATTAGCTTGTGTGGGGTAATGGATTAAAAAAAACGGCTTGCTACCCACGCGAGTCATAGCGGATAAATTATTATTAAATATAGTTATTTTTGTGTCGATGGGACGCTTAATATTGCATATATTTATTAATTTGTTTCAGAGTCATTTAACTCTTCAGTAAACGCAGCGTATTTTTGAAATATGACAGATGAAAAGAATTTTAAACAAATGTCGATCGGACTCGTTTTTATTTTTGTAATGTAAAATTTACGCAGTTAATATATAATCGCGTGTTCTAAGATTTCTAATTTTTCCTTACTATTTACTTAATCTATTTACTTCCACCTTCATAACGCGATGAAGTTTACGCTTGAATTTACGGTTAATATGATTTCACATTCTATAAAAATTTCTAATTTCTCCTTTGTATACTTATTTTATTTATAACATAATAAAATCTACGTAATTAGTACTTAGTCATTGTAGTGATTTTTCATGTTATAGAATTAGAATATTTGTGCTATCAGTTTTATATGATTTATATGACTTATGTTTGTTTCTATCAATTTAGATTAATTATAGTTTAATTTATTTTTTATCTTTCTCTAATTCTAAGAATAAAAAAAGGATAAAGGGTAAATCAAACGAAGATTAATTCTTTGTTTAATTAATAATAATTAATAATAATAATTAATAATTAATAATAATTAATAATTTAAACTCATTTTTTGGACTATGTATTTATAATTTTAACCATGCAAATATAGCCAACTGTGCTATTAATAATTAACAGTCTCACACGTTGTTTGAAAATCTTTAGTTTTTTCTTAACATATTTTTCAGTTACTACATAGTAAGCAAATTAAAAAAAACGGTTTACTATTATAATTACGATTGCATTTACTGAATAAAAATGATTATTTTATTTGCCATTTATCTTGATATTTTTTACTCTTATATATATATTTAAAATTATAATTTATAATACATTTTTTCATTGGAAGGACTATACATATATATATAT